CAACAGACACTCAGTGAGGTAGGTGGGGCTGAGAGAGCTCTGACAGAAACTGCTCTTTTTCAAGGACAGCTGTGCTAGAACTATGGCTTGCCCAAGGTCCTCCAGCAGGTGCAAATGGAGGAGTGGGGAAATCAAACCCGGTTCCCCCAGATTAGAGTCCGCACACTTAACCACTACACCAAACTACATGCTCACAAGCTAAAACATTTGTACCCATGGAAATGTTAGCTGGGATGTACGACTCAATTTTTCCACAGGACTTCACAACGATTCCCTCAGTCAGTGTTTTCTGAGGAAAAAACCCTCACAGAACATTTTAAAAAATATATATCTCAGTGCCATACACTTCTGTACTACCTTTTCCCATGAAAAGTGGGCTCAAGGTAGTTTACTATCACAGTCTTCATAAACAACCCAACCCATCTTGAGTCATTCACATGAACAAACAAAACGGCCTTATACTGAATTAGGGCTTGTGGTCCAACACAGTCAGTATTGGCCCTTTCTGCACTCTCCTTTTAATTAGGGCTGCCAAGTCGATCTTTGCCGGGAGCGGGGGGTTCCCGGCCGGTGTCTAGTGCGTGCGCCACACACACGTCACCCGGAAGTGACGTGATGACGCCAGGCACGCTGGGGCGGGGTCACGGCCATACGAGGGAAAACCATAGAGTTTTCTTTCGGATAGCCGTGGCCCCGCCCCCAGCGTGCCCGGCGTGGTCGCATCACTTCCGGGTGACGCGCACGTCGGGGAGGAGTTCCCCCCAGGGCCCGATCCGGCGGCAGCGGGGAACGGGTCTCTGGGGCGGGGGTTTCCCCGCACCCCGGGGGGACTTGGGAAGCCTACTTTTAATCCATGTTCACTGCGATGTCTCCAAGCAATTCTACACTAAGATCAAATTTTTATTCTGGGTATTTCCCCCATTCTGCATTACATTAGCTCCCTTCAGTGGTCAGCCCGGTTTCAGCCTGCTGTTGCCCCAGAGTATTTGGATGCTGGTTTGCCATGGATTTAAATTGCCTCGAACACTGAGAAAATCCAGAGTGACAGGCAAATGTGGAAAGGACCATTATTTTGCCCACTCAGACTGGCAGCTGCTCTCCAGGGTCTCAGGCAGAGGTCTTTCACATCGCCTACTGCCAGATCTTTTAACTGGAAATACCGGGGATTGAACCTGGGACCCTCTGCATGCCAAGCAGATACTCTACCACCGTGTCACAGCCCCACCCATTCACCTTCTCCACCTTGGGATCCCAGCGCAGCCGCTGTCATTGAGTCGGAAAAACCTTCCACATTCCTCCCGGTTGCCTTTCCTTTCTAGACTGCACTGTCTTATTAGCAGCTGACAGGTTGGTGCTGAATGCAGTAAACAGATGTGAAGGCTGGGAATAAAATCATTCCGACGCAGGAAATTCCTTGTGACAATTATAACTACTTGAGATACAGAGAATTGTGGAGGACCCTCTTCAGGTTTGGGGAATGCTGGGTAATATTAGGAGCCATAAACTTCTGAGAGTAGGCAAAGTCATAGGGTTACCAACCTCCAGGTGGTGGCTGGAGATCTCTTGGGATTACAACTGATCTCAAGACAACAGGGATCAGCTCACCTGGAGAAAGTGGCCACTTTGGAAGGTGGACTCTATGGCATTATTTTGTTGTTCAGTCGCACAGTCGAGTCCGACTCTTCACGACCCCATAGACCAGATCACACCAGGCCTTCCTGTCTTCCACCGTCCTCTGAAGTTGGCTCAACTTCATGTTCGTTGCATCTATGACACTGTCTAACCATCTCATCCTTTGCTGTCCCCGTCTTCTTTGACCTTCAATCTTTCCCAGCATCAGGGTCTTCTCCAGTGAGTTCTCCCTTCTCATTGGGTGGCCAAAGTATTTGAGCTTCAGTTTCATTATCTGGCCTTCCAGGGAACAGTCAGGGTTGATTTCTTTTAGGATTGACTGATTTGATCTTCTTGCAGTCCAAGGAACTCTCAGGAATCTTCTCCAGCACCATAGTTCAAAAGAATCTATTCTTCGGCACTCGGCCTTCCTTATAGTCCAACGCTCACAGCCATTATACCCCTCCACAAACCTCACTCTCCTTAGGCTCCACCACCAAAATCTTCAGGTATTTCCCAACCTGGAGCTGGTACCCTGAAAAAGGTGCCATACCCCCCTGAGACCTATTTCATAAGGATCAGGCTCTAGACGGCAATCAGCATGAAAATAATATTTTTAAAAATGAATTGATATCCATGCTGGTCTGAGGAAAAGGAAACTGGCACAAAAGGAGAGGCAAAATCAAAACGAAGAAACTCCAATAAAACCACACAGCTTTCAAAATGGGGTCTCGGCCCTAATTGCATGACCTTTGGAGGCGGGGCGTGCAGATCTGAACCTTTGTCACAGTTGCTAGACGGGTTGACAAGGGCACTCGTGGTCTTTCAAATGTGGGATTGCCAACCTCCAGGTAGCACCTGGAGAACTCCCACTATTACAAGTGATCAGGTGACCCAGATAGGGTTGCCAAGTCCCCCCAGGGGGTGGGGAAACCCCCACCCAAGAGGCCCGTTCCCCACCGGCAGGGATCAGGCCGCTGGGGGGGGACCCCACCCCCAAAGCGCAAGACATGCCTGGCGTGAACACATCACCCAGAGGTGACGTAATCGCATTGGGCACATTGCAGGGGGACACTCTATCATCGAAGGGAAAACTCTATGGTTTTCCCTCAAATGATTGTTGCCCCACCCCCAACGTGCC